TTGATGCATATTTTGGGAGAGAGGTGTTCCTTGTGAAGCAACACTAGTTGCATGATAGGTTCCATTGTTTTCAGTATATAGTCATATAGATATAATAATAGTGATGTGTTTTTGTAATAAAGCTGTTCTCAGAAACTCTTCCTGAGCAGTAAATGGGGTATTACTGTGTAGGTATTTGGTCTGTGGTAGAAATAATAAATACAATGTGGCACCATCTATTTGATGGCACCACAAACAAAATTCCTAAAAAATTTCACACTTTGGATATTCAAGATTCAGACAACTAGAAAAATAACTATGGTATGTGCAACAACCATTTCTTTATCAGTAATTCACACTATTATGAACTACCTAAATGATTATGTCAAGAGTAATGTTAGCAATAGGGGCTCAAACTTGTGGTTGTGCTTTAGGGCCCGATAATAACTAAATCCACCACTGCCATGTTATCAAACAAGATTGAAGGCTAATAAAAATTAGCTTTTTTCTAGCGATGACAATATTATAGTGAGTAACTTATGTTAAATTTACCAGTACCTAAATAAAGCATTTGTACATCATTCACAGGTAAAAAACAATGCTTTCAGTTGCATCTCTCCATATATTTAATGTTAAAATGACCCTATTTAGAGCTGCTTCATTTAGAGCTCTAAATAATTACATCTGTCTTTCTGCATACAGGATCCCAAAATACCATTTTCATAGACTGAGCAGCTGTTAGCTAGCTGTATCCTTTAAAATAACATGTCACTAATAAAGGTGTTTTGTATATCAGTTGGAAAAGCATTTAAAAGGACTTTACATATAGATTGGTATATTTGCAATTTGCACAAATCCATAAATCATAAAACATGTACCCCATCTTTCATTCTGCAAATTAACACATTCAGTATTTGATTTAATAATATGGCTAGTTATCATATAACAGTTTTAACCAAACTAGAACGAATAAACATTTTTTGTGGTTTTTTTGTAGTTTATACCTAACTTATAAATAGAAATAAATATAGCAAATGTTATAAGTTTAAAAGCCAGCCAAACAAATGGTATTTTAATGGGGAGGATAAAATAATAAAACCAAAACTACATATAGTTTTATGAAATGAGTGGTATAGTAAGAGAGAACTATGTTTTGACAAATCCCGAAAGAGAGGTTGTGACAGGGGGCATGGCAGGACGAGTATGATTTTCTATTTGATGGCTCGTTTCATTCAAAATGAAAGACACTAGACTTTGTTGAAAAAAAAAGTTAAATGCTTTATCTACTGGATACAAGTCTGAAAATGACAGTTGATTGTCTAGTGTCAAGACCTGTAAATAAGAATGTAAACAACATTAAAAAAAATTCTTGAACAGTATCAAATTGCAAGATATCACACAACCAACAGGACTTCCCAAACAAGCCTGGGCTCTCTTAGGAAAGACAAACTGAATTTCTCTAAGATGAGATCAAAGCTGATTCTTAAAGTGCCAAAACTGCATGCACAATAGACATTCTTTCAACCAAGCAGAAGAAAGAGGCACCAAAATGTATTAGTAGTTCTGTTTCATATGACAGTTGCAACGTATGCCTCAAACACAAGGTTAAGGAGTACACAATTCAAATACTTCATGAAACAACATTTTTGTTCATTGACCCATTAAGTTACTAAAAGTGATACTTTAGGTGCATTTAGCACATGACCTTATACAAATTGTGTATTCCAATTTTAGAAATTGGAAAAATATAAGCATTTTTCATTAAAAAAAAATACTATGGGAGAGTAAAATATGTAGCTTTTGCATATTGCAGTGCTCATTTTAGTTAAGTTATCACAAATTAATTCCTAATTTTCCAGCAATGGAGATCAAAAATCACTTAACTTCATTCTCTTCTTAAGAATATTGTAGTGTATATTACTTCTGATTCTTCTTATTTATACATGAATATTTTGTGAATGTTTTATCTATTAATGTATATGTATTAGAGATTAAGAGTTACTAGTTTCAAGGATCAAGATGCAATTAATGACTTGCTGCATTTATAAGTTATTAACAAAATATAATACAGTACCATTTGTATTTTGACTTGTTTTAGTTTTTGGTTATTTATATAATATTGAAACAAAATGTTATTTTTAGAATTTCACAAGTATTTTATGACTGTTATAATATTCTAATCTAAAGAAACATTGAATTTTTTTAGTTTACAAAAGTTCAAACTATTACTTGGATTACTGAAAATATCAGTAAGATAAGTAAAGTATGATACATGCCCAGAAAATAAAAATTAAAACTGTTTGTAATGTTATTGTGTGTAGCAAATATATATATCACCTTGAAAATATGTAGTGATTCCATTAAAACTTCTTGTGTGTGTGTGACCTTAAGTCTTTCTTTATAATGTGTGTACTTTAGATAAGCTCTTTTTGTTACAGGCATTATGGAGCCGATTTCTACCTACATACAAAACACTAATGGAGGAACTTGCTAAACAAACAGTTGGTGATATTTACAACATAAATAGTACCTTTGGACTCAACTTAGAAGCTATAGATCGTTTGAATAAGAAAGAGTTGGGAGGCGGAGTTACCTTAGACTTGGGGATTTATCCATTAAATTGTGTGTTGATGGTGTATGGAAATGAAAAACCTCTTCAAATTAAAGCTGTGGGACACCTAAATTCTCATGGTAGTATCTTCTGATTGCTGTTAAGTAGCTTATTTATGAAACACTTATGAAATTATTACAGTGTAACCACAAAATGTATAAGCTAGTCAAGTGGAGAAAGTTAGTGAATGGTAAATTCTAATAATGCTGTTAAATATCAATCAGGTTATGTTTGTAATTTGATGATATTTTATATACTGTATGATGAGGTTATAGTATCTTACATTCCAAAGTTAAGAATTTTGTACTGTTTAATGTAAAGTCTATCATGTTATTATCTACTTGAATTGTAGTTGTAAGATATTAGTAGAAAATGTGATGGCCTGGATGAGTCAAATGACCACTTGTTATCCCTAGTGATAATACAGATGCCTAAATGGCAACCTGCACCATAATAGAAATACTATTGCATTCTCTCATGGCTTGCAAATGGTTCAAAGTAAGTTCCTCACATGATAGTTGCCAAAACCAGGTGCATCCACTTCCTGAGAACTGTACAAATTTGGACTTGCTGAAAACAATTACAGTGACCCAAAAGTCAATCAAGAGGGGGTGATACCCATTGCTGTTGAAATACAATATTGCCTGGAATGAGGAGTGGCTTCTGCCTAGCTACTTTGTTTTTGTAGTTCAATGATGATATGAAAATAAGTTGATGGTATGGTACACTTCCACTTGTCCTGCAGTAGTAGCAGCTATTTGAAAAGAGTCGTTTTCCATTCTCTTCCTCACAACCATTCTGCTTGTTTTGGACACCCAACCATGCAGAAACTCTTATTTTCTGACGTGACTGGAACTTTACTGTCACCATATTCACTATG